CTTCACCATGTGACCATATTTAGGCACATCCGACCAATTATGACCAGACCCATGACCCATTGCACTATAAATATGCATAAATATATACACACAGATGTATATATACACATACATATGCAGGTATGCACATGTATGTTTTACATATATTTATGGCAATATACCCAATTCCAAAGACAAACCACCACCCTCCATGGCTCTACCCTCTATGCGGGGACCGATTCCTGAGAGAGACACGTGTTTAGATCTCTCTGCGTGTATCTCCTGTAGAAGACACGTATGCTCAAAGGACCATCCCTGCTCAGCCTGAGCTCTGACATGCCACTTCCAAAAGGTTCCTCCATTGCCACCATATTATTCACCATCTACCCATGCATGGTTGAATCAAAATTTATATTGCGTGTGGTATTTGTAGGTGTTCACATGATGTCCTCTTATCATTTTTCAAATATTGTGTGTGTGACAGAGAGAGAGAGAGTCAGTCTAGGGGTATGGGTTATTGGGAGCAAGAGGTTTAACTGATACAGTATCTAACTTGCGTCGAAGTCTTATAATTTATGAAGAAATGTACGATGTACTAGGGCATAAATGAAATCTAAACTCAGTTATATTTGTTTTTAACAATGTTATTTAAATTTAATTACTTTATCATTGGATTAATGATGAATTTTAATATGTTTTTAGATCCATTACTAACTCAATAATTGTGATACATTAGATCAATAATTTATATCAATACATTAATTTAAATAATATTATTGATATTTTTACCATAATATGCCAGAGGAGAGAGAGAGAATGTGTGTGTGTGTGTGTGTGTGTGTTTAGGGGTATGAAATAATGGAAGCAAGACGATTTAACTGAAACAGGATCTAAATTGCATCGAAGACTATAATATATGTAGAAATCTACAATCTACTAGGCCATTAATGAGATCTTAAATCAGGTAATATCTTTTTCTAGCAATAGTGCTAGGTTGGTTGCAGTTGAGGAAGAGGTCTTTTTCTTTTTCCCACCAATAATTGAATCTTACAAAGGCTTAGTTTATTTCAGTTAAGGCACCAATGATGGGGTTGTTCTAGTGGACTCCAACTTTCCACGTCCGAAAGAACCGAGGTTGTCAAAGCTTGGAGCCATGTTACTGTCTCCTTTCCAAAATCCATCTGTTTTTTTTCACATCAAACACTCCCATAAGTGGATTCCAACTCCTCATTCAACCATAGATTCCCTACTCCTAGTGGTGGGTTTCCCTTTCACAACCCAACCATGAATAAAAGGTGGTTTTTTCTCAATCTCTTTTTACCAATTTAGAAGAATGGTTCATTGCACAATACTCTCATCATTGTGCAGAATGGGAAAGACTCAAATGTTTGAAGTTTTACCTTTGCATGTCGACAAGGGTGGGGCCAAAATTTTTGTTTATCCCGAACTAAGTTAAGTATTCATACGATTAACAAAATACAAATATTTTTTAATATATTATGTGGCTCAAAAATTTTGTTTTTTAATTGTGGCCCAAAAATTGTGTTTTTAATTTTGAGCTAAAAATTTTATTTTTTTAATGTTGGGTCAAAAGTTTTTGTAATAGGTTTGGTAGATTTTAATAAGTTTTGGTAGATAATATTGAACTCGAATGTTTTTGTTTTAAATGGGTTAAATTTTTTAACTTTTTTGGATAAATAATGTGGGCATAATATAAATGAGAGGGGTACACATAATATATTATATAAATATATAATACATATACTCTACTAATAAAAAAAAAAATTAAGGGAGGGCACTTGCCCACCGTGGCCCAGCTGTCCCTCCGCCTATGTAATTCCCTTTCTGTTCCGATCAAAAATAAAAATAAAAAATCTTGAAAAGCTCATTCTTTTTCATGATTATTGGGGTTTAAGCTTTAAGGACTTTGAAAATTTGAGCTAATGATTAGTGATTTAGTGGGCTGGTTCTGGTAACCTTATATGAAAGTGGTAATTTTTTTTATTTTCTTTTAACTCTAGCCTTCAGCCCACTATAACCCACTAATGACTCCGTCCCTGCATGTGGATAGATTGTTTAACCTTTGACTCTCAGATCATAATAGAGCAACTTGTTGTGTTAATACCCACCTTCTCTTTTACGAATTTAAAAACCAAAACAAAATAGCAGAAATCGTAGGTGATTCCACAGATACCTGCGGTGGGGTTCCTTCAAATCTATGCACCCAATAAGATAGGTCTTTCCTCATGCTTGTGAGCAATGGCTATGCTTCTATTGATACAGGCACTAATTACATATGCTAATACAGATAAGTTCCATGTGGATTTTTTGAGGATCATTCATTAGAGCCGTCCTTCAATTGAGTTTAATACATGTTCCTTGTCTCAAGAACATGGGCACATCTTTTTTGGGTGTATAAATTATGTGGTCAATTCATATAATTTGGTTGGATATTTTATACTAGTCTTATTCGAGTCATATGTGGTGCCAACTCATGCTTTTGTTAAGAAAGAGTTTTTAAATGTAATTAAAATCAAGCAAATCTTTCTCTTTTTCTGTCTGAAAAAAGGGTGTTTGAAGATCCATTGTATGGGAGAGGGGAAGCAGCCATTACTATAAAGATGAAGTACATATACAACCATATTGTTAAACATTAATAATTCTCTTTCCATTAATTATTTAAGTCTTTTCTAACATATTATCAGTGGGTCCTATATAATTACCAGCATTTATGGAAGGAGTTTTGAGAAGTGGGATTGTTTTTCACAAATGCAAGTGAACGCAGACTTGGCATAGGTATGCCTAATGTTTTGCATAATTTCCCTATTATTTTAGTTACCTCATGTTTGTACCATCGGTTACATAGTGGTTGTGTGTGTCTCTGAAGTAAACCTAGCTATGCTGCACCAATTATTGATCTAGAAACACACAAGTTTACTGATTAACTACATTCTACAATAATGTTAACTGAACCACTTCAAGTTAGCTCAGGTGGTTAGTACTCTTTTACCTCGGTAAGAGTTCAATTGTCGTCGGAGCCTTGCAAATGAAAGTTTTCTACTTTGGGAAAATACATTGTCTTTAACATTTCGAAGACCTAAATTTCATCCTTGTATGTTGGGTGGTCCCATTTCTTTCGTCCTTTAATCTTGTGCATTACTACATTAGAAGTCTGAGCAACTAGGAACAAACTTGAATACAAAAGAGATTCGTACTTGCTCTTACTTCATGAATTTGTTTATTAACAAACAAACACAATCATCTTGGCTACTTGGATAGTAAATTCTTCACTGCAAGGAAACCATAATTACAGTTGTGTTGTTGTATTGGATCACTAAGTGTAGCTCTGCTCATGGGTACCATGTGATGCTGGAGCTTGAACAGGAAAATGATTTTAATGAGATGATAGAATACATGAAGAACCATCTTGTCAGAACATTGAATATCTAGGTCATAACTTATCCTTTTTGACTCAGCATGGGTCACAGTTAAAAAAAAAAAAAAAACTGGGTTCATTGATCGCAAATATGGGTCCATCCACTACCTGAATCTCATTTGACCAATCATATATTGTTGTAATGATCTTATGTTCAACAATGGCTTTGCTGTTGTCCTAGGATGATTATGAAGAACATCAGGCCAGCCCTTGCCCTCCGTTGTCGGTTAAAGAATGAAATGGCTGTTCCAAAAACATGGAAGATTTCATTGTCACGGTTGATGGCTCCACCGGTTATTGATGGACAGAGCAAGTAGTATTATTACACGTTAATGCCATTGTACAAGCCAGTTTGAGTTTTGTCATGGCAGTTTTAATGGAGCACTGTTGTCAGTTGTCACTGTACTGATGTGGCTTTTCTTATGTGAGATCAAAACACGTGAATATGGAACACTTTTACATTGCCATCAATCGAGCACACGAGGCTTTTGTTACTGAGAGATTAGGGAGAGCCAGATGTACGCATCCTAAAATCTTCCATTTTATCAGATGGGTTTTGCTTTGTCAGTCTTAAGCTAGGAGTAATCCAAGTTTCCGGGAGAATGTGGCCTGGATCCTCTCTCTCTCATCGATCTGATTCTAGCTACCAAGCAATCTTTGTAAGAAAAGATTGGGCCAGAAACGATAGAGCAATTATCTTCAAAAGCTTGTTCATTTACTGTGCCTGCAGAGAATAAACTCAGACCTACTGTAGTTTATGCTCTCAATCTCAAAGATAGAGGTGCGAGTACAGAAGCAGAGTTAGAGTACCCTACTTTGTCTATGGCTTTATGTGAGTTCAAATTATACATGCAACCCCGAATAATTGGAACTACCGCCTTGCCTAGCTGAATTGTATCTGTTTAACATATCAAATACAATAACAAAAGTCATAGGGAAGTATGGAGAAAATAACAGTGTGCGCAGAGAGATTACACTTGGTCCCAGCTAGCTAATACAAAGTACATGGTGTGGAGGACTTCAATGCACAATACATGTCCAAAGCAAACTCTATAGCATCAAATTTACTCCGCTGAACTGATTTTTGTGTTTGCCATATGGTCATAAGGTTACTGGGTCGAAATGTGTCAAACTTTACAAGTAATTAATGATTAATTATAACTTTATAAGAGCAAGTTATAGATCAAGGCAGGGGCGGCTCAAGACAATTTTGAGTCATAAAACGAAAACACTAAATGAGATTTTTTTTTTTTTTTAGTACTAATTTTTTAAAAAAATAATTTATTTTTAATTTTTTATGCGAAAGAAACATAAAAATGATGTGTTAGTATTGTCGAAAAATATGTTTCAACTTTTGCTGATTTTTTTATCGGAGAGAGAATTTAATTTTAACTTTTTTTTTTTTTTTTTACCACATAGAGAAAGAGGGAGACAGACTCAAATCCTTAAAGTCAAATAAAATTAAAGTGACCCTAATATGCTAGTATCCGTTCCAACAACATTGAGTTAAACTAACTTTTCCATTCGATTGTATAGGCTTTTATAGTTTGATTCACTCCAAAGGGCATGTGAGGACGCAATTTTTGAGAGAGAGAGAGAGAGAGAGAGAAACTTATATGCATTCATACAAACTTGCAAAATTACATTTTTTTTCCCTTGTACGGATAGTTAGAAGATGTACAAGGCCTTAAAGCCAAAAACAAGTAGAGCCTCTTTTTTTATGGTTCTGCTCCTTTCACCCCCCCTTCCCTCTTGTTCTTTCATTCATTATCTCAAAGCAACAAAATATTTATATATATGCATCCCACCCCCTACACTCAAATTAGTTTGCCAGTGGTACATTTATCTTTTCAAGTCTTCTTTGCATCTTCAATTACCATTTCAAAGATCTCTTCCACTGAACCAACCGCTGTAAAAAATCCATGACCTATAGTAACAATTAAAAACAATGTCATATCAGTAAATTTACTTCGACTGCTGGAAAAAATATACATATGTATATTACAATAAAACTCAAAACACGTTTCGTTTAGATAAATGGTAAAAAGTTATGGATTCCATATGCAAGTATGTTGTAAGGTTCTTGCCTGAGATGGTTCCTGTAAAGAATAATATGCATGAGTATCCTTTGGAATTTTGGAAACTAGGATGCCAAAACCTTGTCCTCTTTCTCTAAGCACCTGATTGCATTAAACAAATACAGCACTAAGTCATGAACTTCAAATATTTACAGAAAGTACCACCCTTCCTAGTGTAAAAACAAAGGGAGTGTTACAACGGTGTCAAGAACATAGGATACCTTGAATGCATCTTCGTCCGTTCGATCATCTCCAATATAAACAGGAAACACATCGGTACAATTGGCATACCCTAGAGGAGGAGATTAAGTACAAAACTCAGTCATTGAATAATTCTGAGATAGTCATTTAATCAAGTTGGGGGGGGTGGGGGGTGCCTTTTCCATCTTTTTCTAGTTTTACTCTTTCAAAAAAGTCACAGTCAAAGACTTCACAAGTAATACTGAAATTGATATTGACTGTCAATCTAATAATAATAATTTATTAAATTAATATATTAAATCCAAATAATATTATTCATAAAAAAAAAAAAATTAAACTCACCAAGTGACTCTAACAAGAATTCAAGGGCCTTCCCTTTGTCCCATTTAATAGTAGGACGGATCTCCAACACCTGTATTAATTTAAAAAAAAAAAACTGAAAATGAGTTTTCTCTCACATACCCAATTACTACAACTTCCAGCACCAAAAGAAAAAAAATACAAAATCAGTGTGAGCAATTAAATATTAGTTCATACCTTCCTTCCTTGTGTCATCCGAAGCTTTGGGTACTCCTTCACCACAGACCTTACTTGTTGTGCCAGTTCAGTCCATTTCTGTCATTTCACAAAGTATAATAAAGACATATCAGATCTTCTCTTAAACAAGTTGATTATGGTTATATTATATTAAGGACTCAATTACTTTTTAACCATGCTTTGTCCCAGTAAAAGTAAGCAATGACCCATTTATCATGCTTGGAGTAAAATATTAATAACAATGAGGACTAATACTGCTATAACTATTAATCAGTCTATCAGTCTAGACCTTTTCCGTTCGCGCGCGCGTGTGTGTGTGTGAGAGAGAGAGAAAGAGAGAGAGAGAGAGAGAGAGAGAGAGAGAGAGAGGGGTATATGAAACAAGATTACACCTTTTCATCAACACAACGGAAATGCACAGAGACACAAAATTTGTTATTCTCCACCTTAGCACCTGGAGTAGATTTGGTTGTCTCCAACAGTGCTTTGTAAACCTGAAAGTTGATAATTTGAGAATACTACTTTAGATTTGCAAATAAATCAATAAATATATATAGACACATATTTTTCATTTAATCGATTTTAAGATGAAGAGTGAAGAATAACCTCATCGATCATGGGAAGGAATTCACTGGCTGGTTGAAAGAGAACACCTTGTGTACCCTGAGAAAAAAGATTTTAAGCAAATCATTATTAATAATCATGTGGAGTACAAATTAACTTAATACTTGAGAATAGACTAAAATGTTGTAACAGTGAAAATAAAATTGACTCACTTTCTTATATTTGGAACCTTTTGATGGTCCTTTTATGTCCATGCCATGGCTTCCAGCATAGTACAACTCTGCTAATCGTACAAAGCTGTACACCTACCAATCAAACAACCACAAAACAACGATAAATCCAAGCTACAACCCACACTTTTGGCAACACATATAGGGAATTAAATAGCTCAGAAGAATCAGAAGAAAAGATTAAAAAAAAATGTACCTTGTCTCTGCACCTTCCACTCACTATAGCAGTGGGAAAATACCCAGCAAGTTTTCTCACTGTTTTTCTCATCTGAGAGAGAAGAAATAATTTTTAGTAACAAAAATTTGTATAAAAAATTAAATCTTAGCATTACTTAAAAAAACATGTATCTATGAAATAAGATGAAAAACCTTTCTATCCATGAAAGCTCGATCGGGGTCCTCAACGATTGGTGAAAGTGTGCCGTCATAGTCGAGAAACATCACAATTTGCTTCCCTTTGGAAGCATTTGTTATCTGCTCGAACATGTCCAGGGCTGATGGGTGGTCATCCTGTTTCATCAAATTATTCCAGATACCTATCAGCTGCTATGTCATTATACAATACAGTAAATGCCAGAAAACAAACCCAAAGAACTAGTATCTCACACACACACACATACAAACGGTGATTGATGTCTCCTACACAAACAGTGACGTACACGTGGGGATGAATGTATTTAATTATTTATGCATATATACATATATGTCACAGTTCATGTACATACATACATGTACATCTGCACACACACAAAGCAACTCACCATCCAAGAGCTATTGTCTTCAGAGACAGAGAGAGATGGTGTGGATTTGACATGGGTGGGAGAGGACGCTTTCATTGAGTCAACCCAAGCGTTGATTCTAGCGGCTCCATTGATTTCAAGGTCTTGGAGCTGCAGGAGCTTTCTCCTTGAAATGGTAATATTCATGAACCCACCTGGCACCATCTGCGGCTTCTGTGCCGCCGTCGTGAAAAGCGACGAGTTTGACACAGCCACCGTTATCGCCATGTTGATTCCGGATTTCTGCTTCGTCATTTTTCTTCTCTCTTCAATGAAAGTTCACTAAAAAGCCACCCAACCCAAAGAAGCACATTCTAAGATCACATATATCACTTCAATATATTTTTCAATTCATCATATATAAACGACTAAACAAAAAAAAATTAAAACAAACCCATTTTAGAAAACTAAGCTCACATTATTCCATACCTAATAATCTGTAAAAATATTGGATGGCTTTTGTGGCTAAAAGAAGTTATATGGGTGAACAAGAAACAGAGGAGTAACAGAGCACTCTGTTCTGAAACTTCGAAAAACAGAACAAAAAGGCTTCTATTTGAGGGTATTGGACTCAAAAACAAACACTGGAACTCAAATAGGTCTCAGAGAGATTTATGGAATGAGGAGGTGAGAAAGGTTGAAGTGGTTTGGTGGTTTTATAGTTGCAACCAGACACTAACCGACGAGAGGATGACCCTACCCTTAACTCCGAGAAAATATTCAATACAACGGATGCACCTCATCAATAATAAAATTTGGTGTAATTGTACATTAATAAATAAATTAGTGAATTTTATAAAGTATACATCCATGCAATATGTAAATACCTCCTTCCCTATGGCGTAATAAAGTTCATGTTATTTATTTTTTAATTCTTTTATTAAATTATTATATTACGCGATACTGATAATGTAGTATAACGATATTATTGTAAAATGGTGTAATCCGTACATTGAGAATTTGCTCAGTCCTGGCGAGACCCAATTTCTGGACCCCACACCCCTCGATATCCTGAGAGGGTTCCACTTCCACATTGCCCACACGTCGTCCTCCATTGGCATCTCTCCTGCCGCCGTCTTCGCCGTCAACTTAACAGGGTCAGCCAGCTGGCAGTTTTCCACGTGGAAGAACCTAGTTGGCCTGTGGGCTTGCAGCACGTGGGATGGGCATGGAAAAAATATTTAATTAACAGTGAACCATCTAACAGTGTTACATACTATTTAGTATTTACCGTCAAATAAAAAATAAATCTTACAAATTTTAACAATCATCGATTCATTTAATACACTAACGACCCTGGTAAAAAAAAAATGAGTCTATTTTACTCAGTCTTTAATTTTATTTTATTTTTGAAATACTGACACTGTTGATAGTGTATAAGGATTATATTAATAAATTAAATCTCAATAACATTGACCTTCTTAAAAGAGAACTACAACAGATTCAGATCCGGAACACATTACTGGGTGCCCATTTATTTAGGTCCTAAAAGGTTATAACCTTTCTCAGATTAATGAAGTGGTCCCTAAATACGAAGGGTTTTAATTATTTATAGCCCCTTGTATGGGCAAGAAAGCTAGCAGCTCCAACCTACCCAGTTGCCCAAAACTAGTTGCTTTGATTACATTACACATGCAATGCAATAGCATACCATATCAATGGAAGTGGTTTTAGGTATTCTTAAACTTCTTTAAATACTAAATGCAAGCTTGGTTATGCTCCACATAATGTTTATGCCTCAATAGAGTAGGTTTGCTCAAAATCCACAAAAAATAAATAAATAAATAAAGGACAAAAGAAAAAAAAAACACGATAAGATAGTGTCTTTAACAATGAATAATTATGTTTTTTCTTCTTCTTACCTATTTTTCCTTGAAAAATGAATGGAGCTTATTGTTTGATATCAATAATGTTTCCTAAATTTCTTCACAAACTTAGAACAGCCTTGTAGCTCCTACATTATGAAGTGACACTTTTTCGTTTTGCTAAAGGTCAAAAAATTGATAATTTTAAAAAATTAAGTGCGAAAAATCTCTATCCTGATAAACATGTGTTGTTATATTTAAGTATAAATATTTAAATTATACTCTCTTCAATAATTTAAATTTTTGGAATAGGCAATTATTTAATATAGTATAAGAGCAGGAAACCATGTATTTCAATTTTGCTACCATCTTAATTATTAAAAAAAATTTCATATGATAGGGCCAAAATCTAGTTGTGCATGAGGGGTTGTGTTTTTAAAGTATACTTTTGGAGTATATAATTGTTTAACATGTTTCTTATAAATTCTTTGATATGAAATTACTTTGCAAAAAAATCAATTTATTTGATATGGGATCTCCTCAAGTGAACAGAGAAATAGTTTCACTACATTCATTATTCTCACAGAAATAATTGTTGTTGTTTTTGTTTTTATTATTTTAAAATACATTTTCTTCCGTAAGTTTTTAGCTACTTCAAGAAGAATTCCTGGTCATGTTGGGTCAACATTATATTGAACAACACGTGTCAATCAATCCACTGCCTCATGTACAAAGGGGGATTGAACAACAGCCACGTCGCCTACCTCTACCTCGTAGGGTCTAGACTGTGCCAGCACTTAATTTTATTATGGAAAATGCCTTTTAAATAGAACAGCAAAGTAAATCCAAAAAACACTCACTATAATTTGTTCTATTTGTTTTGTCAGTCAAAAAAGAAAGGCAGAAAAAAGAGAAGACAGTGAGAGAACAAGAGGGTCAGACTCTGCAGGGGAGGTGGAGGGGATTTAAGAGAGTTCATTTCATCCTAATGCCCAAAGTTGCCTTCTCTGTATCTAGCCCTTGTTTATAGTGCCTCGAGTAACTAGACAATTGTTTTTTCTTTTTTTTGGTCATTGAGTAACTAGACAATGAATATTCAATAGTTCCTCTATTATTGCCCCCTTCCTTATATAAATAAGGATTTTATTAGGGTACCAAAATTTATCATATTTGTGCTAACTTTTATCATATTTGTGCTAACTTTTATCACTGTTGTGATACTAAAAAAAAATGATAAAAATAGTTATTATAAAAGTGTTAAAAACATCCACAAATATGATAAATCGTCCATAAAAATAATAATTTTTTTTGTATTTAAGAAAAATGGTAAAAATAATTACCACAAATGCAGTAAAAACTAACATAATGGTGGTAAAAACACTTACAAAGTGATAAATCAGCCACAAAAAATAATAATTTTTTTTTATTGTAAAATTATGTACAAAAGTTGTAAACACACTCTTTAAAATAGTAAATTTTTGAGATATTGTACCAAAATTTTTTTAGTGGTAGTTTATTGAAGAACAAAGTTGGCAGACCATTAAGTGGGACTATCAACGGATCAAGTATTTCTCTCTCACGTCCTTAACTCTCCCCAGTATTTCTCTCTCACTCATTCACTTCCGGAGGCGGTAGGACTCTATTTTCAGACTCAATGATTTTATCTCTCATATGTCTCCGTTGTGTATTCCAAACAGAATGGAGACTGTTTTTAAATTTACCCAATCCCCAATCTCTATCTCTCCCCGACATCTCTCTCTCTTACCCACTCACTTATTCACGTCTCTACGAAGCAGCCCGGCATCTCTCTCTCTCACTCCCGTCTCTACGAAACAACAACTCTCTGGGACTAGCCAAAAAAAACACCAGGACCTCTTTCTCCTCACTCTCGTTGTTCATATGTAGCTCTCTCTCTCTCTTTTTCACACACACATATAACCCAACACAAATTTACGCAATCACACATACACACCAACACACCCACAGATTCACATAATCGCACACATACACAGACTCACACATTCACACACACCCATACACTTCACAGACTCACAATCACAAACGCAAGATTCACAATCACGCACGAATTCACAGTTACACATGCACTCACAATCACAAGTGCACTCCAACTATTTGTTTTTGGAAGATTTAATGTGTATGTAATTAAGTTGTCAAGTGTTCAATTTTTTTGTTGCTTTCTTACTAATTTGACTTCTTTTAATATTCATGTTTTGTTTCTAACAAGTTGGATCTTTGTTGTTTTCATATTGTAGCACAGAGGTATGGTTAAATGCATCAAGGTAGACCTAAAACATATAACCACGGGAATATTTTAAATGTGGTATTCCCTGACTTCCCTCAATAATCTAGAAGGCTTACAATTTACAGTGAAAAATTCATTGGTATAGTGATAGCATTCTAGCATCCTTATGTTGAAGACTTCAAGTCTACTTAATCAAATGTAGTTATATATATGTCATAATTGGAAAGTTGAAAGTGATAGTATGCGGCTTAATCTTCTCTTGCCTCTTTCTCGTTCCTCCAATTGGATATGTGCTTGAGTTTGGTGATCTCTTAGAAGGAGCTTTGTTGGTCTCATTTTAACATCACGTAGATAGTGTTGGGAAAATAGGCTTTCCCACAAGTGTAAATCAATGGAAGCAATATAAATAAAATAACAGAAAATAAATAAGCACACAAGATTTACGTGGTTCCCTCAAATAACTTGAGGTACATCCACGACGACCGGTAGGTCAGTTTCTTCCACTATCACCAAATCAGATTACAAAGTGGCCAAAAGGCATAAGCCTTACAAACACACCAAGGTGTAAATCACAAGAGGAAAATACCTCACAAAATAAGTGAACCAAATCTCCAAGAACAAACCGCAAGAAACCCAAATATCAAGTGAAGAAATGTTACCCACTTGAAGAACAAATTTGCAGATTTTTCTGGCACCAAAAAGGAGAAGAAGAAGGCTGAATTTTTGTTGAACCAAAGACTGCCGAAAATATGTCTTCTTGCCAAACCAACAGAGAAAAGATGAACCAAAGAAAAGGACAAAACTTATAGTCTTTGGTGGCTGCCAAATTCCTTTTAACTTGAAGACTCCAAACCAAGTCTTGGATAAGAGTCATACACGGGTAAGCCACCAAAAAATTAGCAAATTGATGAGTCCCACAAAGGAGGGAAACCCAACAATTCTCCCCCTCCCGACTTATGTGGAGGATTCGACCATTCCCGCCAAAAGTCGACACTTCTCATGCTTGTCCTTAGTCAATGCCTTAGTTAACATATCCGAAGTGTTATCATCAGTGTGAATTTTTTCAAGTTGTAACAACTTATCATTCAAGACATCACGAATCCAATGATATCTAACATCAATATGTTTCGATCTCGAATGAAATGAAGAATTCTTGCTCAAGTGGATTGCACTCTGACTATCACAATGAAGGACATACCTTTCTTGTTTCAAACCCAACTCTTGTAAGAATTCCTTCAACCACAATAATTCTTTGCAAGCTTCAGTGATGGCGATGAACTCAGCTTCTGTGGTGGAGAGAGCAACACATTTCTGTAATCTTGATTGCCATGCCACTGCTCCCCCTGCAAAAGTAATCAAATAACCAGAAGTAGATTTTCGACTATCAACATCACCAGCCATATCAGAATCTGTGAACCCATCAAGAATAGGCTCGCCTTTACCAAAACACAAACTCATCTTTGAAGTGCCCTGAAGATACCTCATAATCCATTTCACTGCTGCCCAGTGTTCTTTCCCTGGATTAGACAAAAATCGACTGACAACCCCAACTGCGTGAGCAATATCCGGTCGAGTACAAACCATGGCGTACATCAAAGAACCAACTGCTGAAGCATAGGGAATTTTCTGCATCTCATTTCTCTTTTCATCACTTGTAGGACACTGACTTGAGCTTAGTTTGAAGTGGCCTGCAAGTGGACAATTAACAGGCTTTGCTTTGTCCATATTGAACCTCTCAAGAACCTTTTTAATATAATTCTCTTGAGATAACCAAATCAGCCCATGTGATCTGTCACGAACAATTCTCATCCCAAGAATTTGCTTTGCTGGACCCAAATCCTTCATGGCAAAGGACTTACTCAACTCTGACTTCAACTTGCTAATCTTACTCGTGTCTTGGCCCACAATAAGCATATCATCAACGTAAAGCAAGAGAATAATAAAATTACCATCTTTATATTTCTTCACAAACACACAATGGTCTGAAGTGGTTCTTGAATACCCATTCTCACTCATGAAAGCATCGAATTTTCTGTAC